GAGAGAGAGAGAGAGAGAGAGAGAGAGAGAGAGAGAGAGAGAGAGAGAGAGAGAGAGAGATAGATAGATATTATTTCGTATTTCTATCGACCTTTGAAGCGCAATAGCACAAAAAGATGTTAATGACGGCTAATGCATGGTTTGCCAAGATTTTATGGCTTATATCACAATCATCTAAGAAGTATTGCTTCTAAAGACATAACCTCTAAATCTAGGTGGAATGGCAGCTAATCGATGGACGCCGCACTGAGGTGCTAACTCGGGATGAGGATAGAATCACCAGTGATAGGCGCTTCTCAACAACAAAAGACAGACAAGGAGATGAGGATGTTTTTGAGTTGAGGATCTCTCGTGTTCAATCGTCCGACAGTGGAACCTATCGCTGTGAGACGACTAACCGCAACTCCGAGCAGAAGGACGTGGAGCTGTCAGTCAGAGGTTAACATTTCATTGGTTTGCATGGCATGACTATATTATCATTCACCAGTGAGTGTTGTAGTGAATTTGTGTGTGTGTGTGTGTGTAAAATGGCATCTTTGCCTTTTGCCATCTGGCTTTTTTTAATGTGATGAAATAGGTTACCAGCATGTGCACCTTAGCTAGATCGTATATGCGCTTTAGTCACCTTCATACGTGTGCATATATCATACAATATCGTATGAGTGTAATACAGTAATGAATTTTTTGGTGTGACTGTGTGTAATGATGCTGTGTATTGCATGTTATATCAATACGTTTAAGTTGGCATGGTGTAAACGTATTTTACAATGATAATGACAATTTACAAATGGTGATGATTTGATTCATGTTATTAAATAAGTGTGCACAGCACACGTGTTTGTTCGCGAAATTTAAATATATACTAATTAATGGAAATAGTTTTGGGCATTGTTCTAGTGTTTCAAAAATCTAAAGAAGGGAATTTTTTGACAAAAATTTGAAGCCACTCATTACTGCAAGGTGGTAGATTTATTTCATTCTTTGCCTTAGTATGTAATGTATCTAAGGGGGCCATATGACACTGATGCAAGTGCTATGTGTGCTACTAATGCTGAGAGGGTCTATGTCCCCCAGGTTACTGCCGGAACGTACCCTGGGTACGGTCCAGTATACCGGAACGTACCCTGGTACTATGTAATATGCCGGACCGTACCTCGTCTGCCCCAACGAGTCTAGGGAGTCGCCTACGCCTACTCCCTAACCCTAACCCTAACCCTAACCCTAACCCTAACCCTAACTCTAACCCTAACTCTAACCATATGAAATAGTTACCAGGGTACGTTACGGTATACCGGACCGTACCCAGGGTACGTTCCGGCAGTACCCTGGGGGACATAGACCCTATGAGCGCTACTAATGGTCTATAGCTATGATGTCTATAGCTAATCATTATTGAATAAAAATAACTTGCTTGGTGATTCAAGTCTGGCCTCAAACCTTACAAACCCAGCAAGAGCTCTAGATATCCCAGCCATCTAGGCTGTCATGGTTTTTTTGTAAAAAAATTTCGCTCTTAATGTCAATTTGTATCGTAGAATTGAGCTTATGAAATGTGCTTTATAAATACAAAAGCATTTATAGTGCTTTACAAAGAGTATTTCATTATATTCACGAGCACATCAAAGTGATGATGCTATTATAATTTGCAATTTACCTCAACCACGTGATAATGTGTGTCATTTTGGGCATAAATAACAATTAAGCCAATTGTTATTGTATTGGTAATAATGCTGTGACCAGTACTGAAGTACGTGGGCCTAGAGAGTATCAGGTGGTTCTCGTGTAACTTGCTTCAACCGTATATTATGAATTGGCATGTTAGTTTATATGTGTGTATATATATATTTTAGTCATGTTTTAAAGTCTAATATTGTTCATAACAGTTGAAGAGTTTATAGCAACTAAATAAAACAAATGTTTTGAACATTTATATATCTTGTTTTATTTTTGTTATTGTTTGCTTAATAACAAAACGCTTTCATCCAATAGACTCCACTTGTTTCTTAATAGTCAATTTATACAGTGCTATTGATGAAATTTTTAAAATTTTAATATCGTTTGAGCTTTACAGATTGATACTCATCGTAAATCTTTGTTCAGATTCTTCAGGGCCTAACATAGAAGATATTAGTGATGATCAGCCAGTCCAGAGAAGAGATGATCTTGTGATAGAGTGCACTATCAGTGGGCTTCGTGGGAGCATAACTGTAAGTCCTGTTTAGTCTAGGTTTAGTACACAACCTGTGCTACCAGAGTTGACTGCCATTTCCGACTAGGCAATTAAAAATAATGGTGGTACCTTCAATTATAGTTACCAGTCGATGGTAACAGAAGTCACATAGCATATTACTTTAAAAACACGCGTGTGTGTGCGCATTCATGTATGTATGAGTAAAATTATTGGTCTTACTCTGTATATCTACTAGGGCATAGGGTACCGGGGTGTGTGTCTACACCTTCCTTTGTTATTGCATCCTCTCCCGGAACAGAGAGATGGTGTGTAAACGCATATAGTTGTATTTTTAGCTCATCTGACATAGTCAGGTGCAGCTTGTAGAATCGCACGATCGTCCGTCCGTCGTGCGTGCGTGCGTCGCTGTGCGTCGCGTCGTCGTACCTCGTCCGTCAACAGTGGGCACAAATCTTAACCGCTCGAGCGTACGGTCACGATAATTCGCACAATCGGGGGGGGATTGTCAAAACGAGTTGGGATGTCGAAGCTGGGGGTCAAAGGTCAAGAGGTGTAAAAGAAGGGGGAACATTCACTCCTTTAACTTAAGTAGTAGGGAGGAATGCAGAATTGCCGGCACAAATCTAAAACGGCTCGACCTAGGCTCGTGATAGTCGGTGTATAGCATCATGGTAGAGGAAAGCCATCACTGTGCCGAAATTGGAGGTCACAGGGTCAAAGGTCAATGGGCACAGGGCAGAGTTTTAGACATTTTCTGAGGACATCTGGTCTGACGCAGCGATTGAAAAACTTTTTTGTTTCAGCGGTGACTAGCCATTTTTATGGCTTTATTGAAATGGCATGAAATGTCCCTTCTGCTGACATACGCGAAGAGTAAGTGTCCGGATAACCCTTTTGACCCTCAAGAGGAGGGTTAAACATGGATTTGTTTACTGTTTGTTAGAAAGAATATTGACTGCCGGGTTTGCTAGTAGAATCTATACATGCCTGGATGTACGAGGCTACAATGCTCACAGTGAAATTTTAAAAGCTAAATTGGTTGAAGAAAGGTTTATGCTCCTTAAATCGTATAATTTTCTATGGCATTCTGTACTGTCAGATTTTACATGTAACGTATGCCACTGCCAGTGGCACTGCAGTGCATGTGGTGGTGGCTGTGTAGTTTTTGCCTGCTTAATTAGTTACAGGTGGCAGCTCTCTATTGCAGCCTGTAGGTTTGCGTAGGTAAATGGATGAGTGCTTACCTATTCTGTCTGCAATAGTTGTTGCTACTATGTACGATGGAGCGTCCATCTTTAATCTGAGACACTTAAACACGTACGCGCCATCTCGGTGGCAACTTTTCATAACGATCCCAACAAACATTCCTTTGAGAAGGTTCCTGATACCATCCCTGTGCATTCCACTGTTTTCGGCTGTGATGTGAACACATTTGGGACCTAACAGGGTTTACTAGAATCCCACCACTCCACCACAAGAGTCACCGCAGTAGACGTTAGAATGAGCGCTGTCGCTCCGCGCGGCACTTGTAATTGTATGTACCTCTTTTATGGTAATTAGTTGATATCAACATTCTGACATCCTGTTGAGGTTCGCAGCAAATTCTATTATTAGATGTTTGCTATATTTCTTTGATTTAATTATTCCAGGGCGAGTGGGGTACTGTGAGTGAGAGCAGTGTCTTCACAGAACTCACTCTGGTTCTAGGTTCTCAGCCACTGACAGCAGAATAACTATCGATGTCAGTGAAGTGGCAGACGAGTCCATTTTTTGCGCCTGGAGATTACGAAACGTTATTATATCTGACAGTGGATTCTACCAATGCAGGACAACTGACAGTGACCCAGACAGCAGAAACGTGAGAGTCGTCGTCGGGCGGAGAGGTATACTTAGACAGGTTTTTATACTTCCCCGTGCTTTACAGTTTTAATAGGCATAACGAACAGAAGCATTTTGCTGAAAATGATTACGTGTTACAAGTCTGTCAGCTTTAATTAATAAGCCAATTTGTTCCAATAATTATTGTTTATTGCATCTCTATATTTAAATGAAGTACTGTAGCCAGCAGTTGAAGCGGAGTGTACTTGTGAAAGTAGAAGGTAATACTTCAGCTGGTAAAACTGCTTCCCAAACAGCTTTTTTATAATTGTTTTTCTATGTTTACTTTTTAATTTCTGAAATCTCACTGTTAGACATAAACTTAATGACCACCAAAACAACGTGGACCATAATTTGGCATATGTGGTGAATAACTAGTGTGATGCTGTAGGTAGTCAAGAATCTTACCACTACCTGTTTTAAATATTTATTTTGATTTAATATTTGGATAATTAACTTATTATATGTATAAATAGTATATTATAATTGTGTGGATAAGTAGACTAGTTTTGACCAGAAAAGCCTGCTCATAATGATGAAATGTGGTTTGGAGTATAGAAAGGTCATGTTCATACCATATTTTCATCCCGTAAAACATACGCGTCTTATAATATTGGATCAAGAGACATTTCGTCAAGTATTCATGTAAATGTCTTCAAACCTGACTGCGTTAAATTTAACTAAGGTCGACTACACACGTAGCTAATTATCTGCAAACATAGTTCACATATAGATCACAACTAGCTTGGAGATGCCTCACTTGGTATATTTCTCAAATAATTTGAATAATTTAGGCATCAGCAACGTTGGTGGTATTGTTGCTGGCATAGTCGGTGATACAGAAGTACAAGCTGGTCGCACTCTGTTGCTGGAATGCAGTGTGGCACGCCTGAAGGGAGGGGTCGACAGTGAGTCTTGTTTGGTGCATGGCCGTGTATTTTCTGCTCGAATTACATATGGATGTCAAACGATTGAACGGAAAACTTACTGTATTCAATATTGGACACTGACATTATTCCTCATATAAATGAACAAGTTAACGTATATAAGCGGGTATAACATGAACGTTACAACAACTACATTAGCCACGCGTTCAGATTAAGGCTCTGTGCAATCCTTTGACATCCATTTAGTAAAAGAGTGAAGGAAATGACATTGAATAGAAATTTTCTCACAGTTATTATGGCTTCTTTTAAAATGGTGATGGTTGAGTGTGCATGTGTTTGAATTTTATAGGTGTTGGTGGGTCGCTTATTATTGCCATAACTCGCAGCGCTTCAGTCAGCTTAGATGGTACACTCAGGCTACAATGCACTGTCGGAGAACTGGACTCGAGCACAAATGTAAGTTTGTATTTGAGCCGTGCACTCTGCCTGCAGGTTGTGTGCCAAGTTATTTTGCGTATTATGGATGCTAAAAGCAGTTCTAGTTAAATTTTTAAGAACATCATGAGATGCATGTCACGCCTCATAGCTTGCCTCATCATACCTGTCAAGGTCACACGAGGTGATACTCAACGTGAAGGTCATACACAGCCTGCCTCATCATACATCTCGTGGTTAAATGTGGGCTGGGTAAATGTCACATAGCCCCCACCAATAATAAATTTCAATGTCATTTATGAGTAAGGTGAAGGTCGCATATCCACTCCCTCAACCATGTGTTGCATGGTCTGGTCACTGGTGCATATGAGTGGGTAAGGAGGTTAACTGGTTCTCTCATCGTGCTCGGATCGTTCATGCTCAAACAATACGTAACATGGAGAAGAGAATGTCACATGTATAGATTTGCATGGGTTTGAACTGTTATTTTGCTGTGTTGGCTAGATTAGTTCAAGGTATTTAACCCAGGATAGTGATACGCAACAATCTATGGGGATGGGTTTGCTTCGCCCCATTACCAAGTTATCTCACACCGTTGATAAAAGAAATGGCATACTACATTAGTTTCTATTTGTGATAAATATTAATAATTTAATATATAAATTAATATAGTGCTTTTACTGAATGGACTTACTAACTTCTTAGTGAAAATGGACGATATATATATATATATACAAACGAATAGAAGAATTAAAAATTTGGCTTGTTCTCGACATAAACCATGCACCACAAGATTCTCTGGTTTCAAGGTTGAGTGGCAAAAGGTAGAGAGGACACGCACGACTGTGCTAACACAAGGTACAAGGAGGATAACCAGAGACGTCAGAGTAGGAATTGAGAAGACTACATCTAACAGCAATGATGTATACATCCTGACAATCGCAGAGATTGAGAGAGACGATGAGGGTGACTACCGCTGCACGACCACCAATGATAGTCCATCCTCCGAAGATGTTTCTATTACTGTGTCTGGTAGGTCGGTCACCCATCACTTACTAATAGATATTAGCATGAATATATCTGTACTCGTTAGTATAGGTCTGTGGTATAGATTTGTTTGTGATATAGCACATATCTGTATACATATTATATATCGATAATGAAGATGATGATGATATCAGGAGTAGATAATAGGGAATTATTTATTATAATAGGGCTATTATCTACTCCTGATGATATGAATCTCCCAATTCGCTTCAATGGAAACCTGTTGTAGAATTGGGTTTAGCTTGCCACTGGCATGTGACTAGCAATTCACCCACATAGCAGCAGTAGCTTTGATAGAGAAAGCATATTATGGAAACCAATTAAAGCAACAGTTGCAGAGACTATATGCTCCTTGGGAGCCAAAGGGGAAGAAATTATCTATAGTACAGACAGCATTACATATTACTATATAGTAATATNTATTCTATCTATACATTCGATATTTAGCTTTTTTCGTATGTTTAGAAGATGTTATAATATGTTTCAAACATATAGGAAGAAAGTTTATGTATCTGGTGTAATCGTTGCATTGCTGAAGTACATTTTCACACACTACACATTATAGGGGCTTGTATTGAATGGGATATTTTATTCTTCTCTGCCGTTATATAATCTGTAAATTTTTTATTATGTTTTTTTTCTGTGCCACAGATTGCTGATGGTGGTACATACAGATGTGAGACAACTGACAGTAATTCTGTCTCTGAGGATGTGAAGGTTACTGTAGGCTCAGGAGGTACACTATAAACATCCAATTATCCAAATATTGCCTTAGCATGGTGTACTATATTTCTCATTTGCAGCTTAACGCTAATTTAAAGGCTAATTTGGTGCAGTTCATAACTTGTTGCCTTTTTCTTCAAGATAATGTATTGAGCGTGTGCAATCTTAATAATATGATTCGGCTAATGTTCCTGTGTTGTGATTAAGAAATTTTGGTTACTTAATAATTAATTGTGTAATCTAATGTCCATACATGGAATTACATTTTTATGCCATATTTGATTGTGGTTAATTTGCTATGGGGTCTTTAATGATATAATAAAATTTCTGCAATAGTTTATTTTGCTAGAATCTGCATTGTTCATGCAGACACAAGGATGTGGTAATATATGTTTTATTTAAATTTGTTTTTATATATATTTTTTTTTATATCAATTTAGTTGCAAAGCTAACAGCTGTTGAAATCGTATGTCTATATAATAGTCTAGTGAAATGACATTTTGGTAACATTTCATACAAATATATGGTATATGACAACATTCAATATGACAGCTATAGCACGCCGTGATTAGTAGGTGCCATATGTGTCAACATGCCGTGTCTCAACATGTCATTTGTCAACATGCCATGTGTCAACATGCCATGTGTCAACATGCCATGTGTCAACATACAAGGAGCTAAATATAACAAGGAGAGGAAGCGGATTGGCTGTGCGCTTTTCGCCTCTAAGGACGCCATCTATGGACCCATAATGCACTGAAACGGCTGTGCAATCTGTCCCCGAGAGACAATAGAACATAATCTGTGGCTGGACCATATGACCAAATATGCAAATATTGGGCCAGATAGGGGGGGGGGGGGGCGGCGCTTCCTCTCCTTGTTATATTTAGCTCCTTGCATGCCATGTGTCAACATGCCATGTGTCAACATGCCATGTGTCAACATGCCATGTGTCAACATGCCATGTGTCAACGTGCCATGTGTCAACATGTCATGCTTCAACCTTTCGTGTGTTTGCATGTCATGTTTCAATGTTTCAGTGTCAATATGTCATGTGACAAACACACAATCTAGTATAATATCTAGTCGTATCTTAGCGCAATACTGTAATGCACCTCTGAATGCCTATGTACTTTGACTATGATATATAACGTGCCTGTAGGGAGAGGATGACACATGTTGGTAAACAAAGGTGCATTACAGCCATGTTATTTTTAAGAATAAACTAATAGCACACTTGCCTTTACGTTATGATTATATACTAAGTAAAGTACCCCCATTAATCGTATTGTAAATAACACCCATAATACAACCAACGAAGGCCATATTTCGTTACGTTTGACACAATTATTTTAATCGCTGTTGATAGATTAATGAAGTGATTTATGTATGTGGATCATTGTTTATTGTAGAATGCATTTACTGCAATGCCCTGTTCTTTCTGGACGAATATAGTCACAATTGTTATCAAAGTGCAACATTTATATTTCATATAACTAAATTTTTAGGTGGTGACGTGGAGATATCATTTATTGATCCTAAGAAAACCGTCAGTAATCGCCAGGATGTTGAGTTTGAGTGTGCTGTCACTGGGCTAACTGGGAGCAGACACGTAAGTATTGCATGCAGAGCAGACTGAGGCAATATATAAAATGGTGCTTGACTTGTATGACCTGTAAATACCTAATTCAATAATAATGCGAATTAATACATCTTTCATCAGCTTTAATGATCAACATTTGGCATGAGTTTAGGTGAAGCTACTATATTGGCATTCATCTGCCTGTCTGCTCATTGGCAATTGTGGTATAAATGCATAAGGCTCTTTTGCTAATGTTATATGTGCAGTAGCTGCCTAGTCTTCACTAAAATATTTACCATCAGCACACGGGCTAAACTAGTTTTTTGTACATGATATAAAATGTGGCTTACAGTATAATGTACTGCTATATATATATATTATTGCTGAGAAAAAAGATATCTGTCGATGTTAACATCATTGTCACTAAAAACAGCCATTTCCAATGATACCACCTTTGCATTAAATGTCATATATAACTTTTTTTTCTGTAACTATACAAACCCAAAACGTTCTTTATTGAGAGACATTTTACACAGTGTACTTATAGTAATAGCAGTGTTAGTAGACGCTACTAATGTGACCAGTATTGCCACACTGTTCTACTTTAAAATATATTTATCTAAATGTGTTAACGTTGCAACCAATGCAAGACTAGAACCTGTGGTTTTGCTAAATATTGGGAACAATGAACATGCATACTTAGCTAACCACACTCATAAAAAATGTGTTATGTTACAATAAACTTAATACAATTAATTATGTCACAATTTGACCTAACCACCGTCAAGGTTATTGATAGTGGCTCTTCTTCATTGATGTGCTTAACCTGAATTCAGGTAGAGTGGAGGAAGGTGGAGGGCAGTGATGTGGAGGTGCTGACGCGAGGGGAAGACGTCATCTCTAGCAACAACAGGATAGATGTCATTTCTGAGACATTTGTGGATGAAGTGACATTTGTGCTATCTATTGACAACGTACGAAATACTGATGAGGGCATTTATGAGTGTGCAACAACAGGAAGAGACTCAGTCAGCCGCACTACAGAGCTTGTTGTCACTGGAGGTATAGTGTGTCATTAAGAAATGTGGCCACACATGCTCTGTGCTTATCAGTACCATATTACTGAATCTCAAAACCAACAAAAGTTTTAACTAAGAATTTTAACTAAATATTCTCTTTACTATAAGCATTATCCTAGGAGATTGAGCATAATTAATCAATCCTAATTGAAAAGGTGTTGCTTACATATATTTATTACGAGCGGACGTTATAATAACATTTTAAGGATAATTTTTATTAGCTGTCATGGAAGATCCAGAAATTGTTGAAGATCCACGTTATTTCATTGATATCATGTATCATGTACATGCCTATTAACTGTCTTCTGCTTCACGTTCTGGAGGCTTCTAGAAACTCAGGCTTACAAACCTAGCTGCTGTATACGTGCTATAATTGAGTGTTCATTGATTTTTCAAGCATTCTTAAACAATTAAGCTATAAACGTTTGTCATTTATATATAATTTATTAACAATCTTCTGCTTCAGGGTCTGGAGGTGGAGAAGATCCTGAGATTGGGGAGATCACTTCTGACACAACCGTCAGAACTGGCAACGATTTGGTCCTGGAATGTTTTGTCACGGGCCTTACTTCTTCAACTGTAAGTGTAATAGTCTACTTACCTGTCAGATATTAGACACAAACATGTTTTAATGTAAAGTTTATATTCATTGTTTCACTGTCGCAATGTTCTAAGTTGCATTGTTTGTTAGTCACCTTCCAACGCTATAATAACCTTAACTCTTTTCAGGTTGAGTGGCAGCTAGTGGATGGGAGTGACGTTGAAATACTGACCCGCGGCGAAGACAGAATCATCAGTAATAGCAGATTCAGCACAGAGATGGACACTGCTGGAGATGAGGACATATTTACACTAACGGTTACTAATATCAGGAATTCAGATGAGGGAACCTACAGATGTGAGACAACCAATGATGATCCTGTAAGCGAGGATGTGGAGGTCACTGTGACAGGTAAGGAATGCTGGTGTGGCTTGAAAGAACTGAATCTACTTGATGAAATATATACTAATCTTTGCTTCTAAATGAGACCACCTTTTGAAGAGGTGACAGACTGATCAAACATTTGTTTTCCAAAAAGCTGTGTAGATGCAAATTAAGCTTAATTTGATAAATGCTGGGTTTTTCTAGGATGACTTTTTAAAACCTCTGGTTATTTTCTAAAACACGTAAAAGGATGTTTGTAAACCTATAGGTTTGTGTGTACACACTGTATTTACCAGTGCAGTGTTTTGTTTTTGTTGCATTGATCACAATTATTCTCTACTGTTCCGGATTCAAACCCAACTGAAGATGGTGGTCCCAAAGAAAATGGCTTCTAGAAACTCAGGCTTACAAACCTAGCTGTAGTTTTCTCCTTATGTAAGGCAGATAACACGGTGTAACATTATGCAGAACTACTTTGTAGCCACATCACTACGCGTATACCCGCGTATGTAAACTGTTACTGAAAGCAGTCTTCTCTGGGCTCGGCCATGTTATGCTAAGCACTAATAAATGTTGTTTACCCAATTATGTCTGGAAATCCGATACTTTACATGGTGGCAGCGGTAAAAGTCATCGCAGTGTTGAGATAACACTCCGGTGAACATCTGTATGACATTGACAGTGTGTTGGCCAGCGCCAGGAGCTAGAATTTGGGATTTGTCTGCACCGACCTCATTGCCACGATCGATCGCGGCAGTATGCGACATCGGCATCACCGCGCAACAGGTGGAATGCATATATGTGCGCGTCGTGCACTAGGCCTACTAGAAGACAAGTAATAGTAATACTCGGGTGTACACGCATCCGGAGTATACATTACACGCAGTGTTTCGGAGAAGATTAGTGAACAATACTGTTTGAATTTGGAAAGCTGTTGAAAGATCCGTGCTGGACCAGTCCATACGAGGTGGCGTTATACCTGACAGTTCACCCATGATGGTATGTGTACAAAGCCTACTGTACCATACACTGGGTATCGACACACCGTACAAGTACGTGTATTACTGTCAATGACAGGATACTTTGTATTTTCCACTCACCACACTGT